TTCTAGATCTGTGTTTTCTCTTTGCATCCTTATGGAAATAGGTTGGAAAGGTGGTCCTTTTTGGGTGCCGACACATAAAACTGCATAATCTTTCTGACAGAAGAAAGGAGGCCAAAGAAAATGCCTTAAACAGTCTCTCTGGTTAAATGAATATAGGAATGTTGTGCAGGGATCTATAATAACTTGAAGTAGGACTTAGCAGGTTTATCAAGCTTTTGACTTTTCTAAGGTTTAATTTGGTAGTTCCTTTGGCTGTGCAATGGCATGTCATGGTTTGCTTTGTGCCTGTTTCCTGAATGGAAGAGCTGCTCTTCCCCCCTCAGCATGTCCCAGCCCTGCTCCCTGTGGGATTGCTGCTGTGGATCCCGAGCAGGGGCTGTGAGGGGGGTTTTGGGGCTGTCTTGCTGAGAGTGGGACCTTGGCAGTTACACCAACAGCGGAGGAGTGAGTTGTGTTCAGGGGCAAGTAAATGTGAGAATGCCTGAGACTGGTATGTGCTTTTCAGGATGTTTATTCCCAAAAACATGAGTGTGGAATGACTCGTCTCACTGAATCATGAGCCTTCACTGAGTAGTCCACTGTTTTAGGGCTGCAGGAGCTGAAGGGTGAGGTATGCCTTGGTGAAACATCAGGGCTTTTATGTGTCACTTCAGTGACAAACACGGGATGACACTCGAAGGGGGTGTGCAAATACTCTTTGAAAGGAGAAGTAAAAAATTGGTGGTTTTGTTTCCATCACAGTGGAAGGTGGGTAAGTAGACCTTTGTGCCAGGATTAGTGCCTTTTAATTATGACATGACAGGTTTTATTCTGTTAAAGGCAACATCTATCATTGTGATCATTTGGAAGTGCTTCAATAAAGTGTTGTTGAAAACCATTATTTTGCATGTTCATCTGTAGTAGTACAGCTGCTTTTACTGTTAGACATGTATAAGTCCTTGTTACCAAATTGTGGGGAACACAGTTACTCAAGGTAAATGTATCTATGCCAGAATGGAATTATTTTTGTTCCTCTGACAGATGAGCTGCAACTCATGAGCTGTAACTCCTTGGAGCACTCTTGGAGCAAGGAAGAGAATGGGGTGGTTTCACTTCCACGCAGGCAGATACTGTCAAGCAGCAAATTGAAGAACTCTTTCTTGATGTAATTAGCAAACTTCACTTTTTAAATCCTGTCCTAGAGTGGTGATGCCGAGGGTATTCGTATTTTTGTTAACAAGAAAAAAGCTGAATGCTGTCTCCTGGTTGCTGCTCGGTCAGTGCATGAGCAGAGAGGTCTCTGTGGGTTCTGGCAGGAGCATCCGTGGCAGAACTTCATGTGGGAGCCCCTCGGTGTCGGGCAGCGGGTCCGTTCCGGCTGCTGGGAGCGATTGTTGGTCTCTCTGGGCTGGTCCTGAGGGAGGCGAGGAGGAAGAGGAGTTCACAACCCTTATTATTCGCCAAACAGGGCCAAGGGGTGAGAGGAGAAGCTGTCATGGGTGAAATCCGACATTTAAACGATCCGCAGGGTCTTGGGAGTGAAGAAAAGTGGAAGACCAACCTGGGCCTTGGCGGGGGGGCCCGGCGGGGCCGGGCCGGGCTGTGCGGGGCCGGGCTGTGCGGGCCGGGCTG